TATACTCGAATAAAATAAACATAATATTAAAAACATTTGAATTAACTAAAGGGGTTAATTTTACATTTACAAGGGTAATTTTATTATTAGTTCTAATATATATTTTTATTACTGTTTAAATACACTAATTTTTATATGACTTTTTTCACATATTATTTATTAAAAAATTCAAATCAATATAATTTATTAATTAGAAATATTCATATTATTTTCCATTGGATCAAATAAATATTAGGTACATATCATATAATTTGTGTCTTTTTAAATTTAATTTATTAATTTATGCGTGAGCCATAGACAGATATTTGATTGAATTTTAGGGGGGCTTTTAATTATTTTTGGAGGGGAAAGGAGGCTAATTCCCCCAAAGCAAAATTGAACAAGTGAGATACTATTATAAATTAAATACATACAAACTATAAGTTTATAAAGACAGTTTGGACGACAAATTCAGTCAGTCAATAAGCGTCTTAAAAAAATGTGGGAGATTAATATTCTGGAACAAAATTAAATGTCATTGATAATATAGTATTTTCCATATATTTTTTTCTATCGATAATTTGAACGTATACTATATTATTATGTATACCTAATGATCAAGTTACTTATATTCTTTTTCATGTTTTACAGATATAATTTACTATACATTTTCTAAAAAAACTTTTTTTGAATTTCGATATAACTTAAAAGTATTTATAATTTTCAATTATTAATATTATTTTATACTTATGAATAACGCATAATTATTTTTTCTCTCCAAATAACTTTACGTTTAGCTTTTTTTTTTATAATTATACATACCTGTTGCTTACTTTATACTTAGCTATTCCTCATTTATTGATATTCTGTGTAGTCAAATATTAACAAACTATATGATATCCTATATACTAAGTGTCTAGGTAATATGCAATATGCGTATTTTGTTTAAAGTTTTCATTTCGTCATGTAAAATTCAATAGTATTAATAATCAGAAATGATTCATTTTTGAATAATTTTTAATATTAGTTTCACCTGTGAAAATTTCATATATAATATAATATAAGTAAATACTTGGATAGTTCATATCGCACATAATTCCTGTTCTATTTTTAGATTTCATACTTAATAAGATATTTTTTCGAAATTCACCAAATGTTCATCGTCAAAGTTGACTTGTTTCGAGGCTTATTATATTGTTATTATTGTTTTGTTTTGTTAAAAATAATAGCTGTTAAATTGAGTATAAAAATAGGATTTTAATTAGGGGAGAGCAGTCGATAACCTTTTTTTTTTTTTTTGCTTTTTAGATTTTATAGTAAAATTTTAATGCTTGATATAAGAAATAGAATTTAGTTTGAAAAGTAGAGGGGAAAAATGCCACCTTTTCTAGGTCTATGGTCATGGTTAGAAAAGAAAAAAACACGATTCTTTTAGTTAAAAAATTATTAGTGAAGACTTTGAAAATAGTCATTATTATTGTATCATATCATAAATTAATAAAATCTATTCTACTTGTTTTGTAGTACATTCAATGTTTAAAGTTTAAACCAACGCTTATAATTTATATTTATAAAATAAGTATTGATTAACCGCTTGTACATTAATTTAATAAGACCGTTATATCTCCGAACGAACTGCAAACGTTAAATTATGACATTTATGTAGCATATAAGTATAATATTACTTGTGTAATATAAGTTTTATTGCTCCTAAATAAATGAGAAAACAAATTAAATTTTTATGATAATCCAATGGTAATGTTATAAACGTCTACATTTTTTATATTACTATTTGGTTAGTATACGCTATATTTATAAGGTTATCCCCTAAGATTCAAATGTCCTTCACATACTTTTCAAAAAAATTATCTAATTATTACTATTATTATTATCATCATCTTTCATATTTTATACGATAATCTGTAAGCTGAATTATATAGATTTTAATATTTAGTCATATTATATAAACGATAAAATTCGCAACATTTGTAAGCGGAAATTTTTTCTTTTCGAGTTATACGTACAATAAAAACCAAATATGTAAGGGTCGTCAAAGTAAATTACTACACACAGATACAGATTTAACAATTTGAAATTTTTCAAAACAAATATAGACGTCTATATTACATTGAGCACGTTTAAGAATACATTCCAGCACATCGAATTAATCTAGAACAGCGTAGTTCTCAAATAGGGCGACTTTGTCCCAGTATAGCGGTGACTTAAAATATCTACGAAAAAAGGAAAAAAAATAAGAGAATTATTAATTTTTTCAAATAAGACTGTATTATAGCCGACACCATCATGTAATCGACATCAACGTCAAAAAAACCTAAAATTAGAAATAATTGTTCATACTAAAATATGGTATATCGCAAAACTTATATCTTTAAATTAATTAAATTTACTCTTTAGACCTGATATGTCAATATTCATTCAACACTATAACTAAAATTATTATTATTTTTCTAGTAAAACGTACAGTTTAAATTGCTTAATATGGTAATGTTAGGGTGACGCAGTGCTTAATTATTTTTGTGTAAAGTGGACAAATGAATTAAAAAAGGTTGAGAGCCACTGGTATAGAATAATAATATAAAAAATATAATTTTATTATGTTACTTATAAGTTATAACGATCTACGAAACTAAATAAAAACCTTGTCGAGACGATCACGCACGATCATTTTTTTAAATATATTTTTATTGTGTATGTTTGTGTGTACCTGGTGTAGGTATACTGTTAAGGTATGATGGCATTGTATGCGATGATGCAAAAACTTATACTGAGTTATACATAATATTTACGTATTGCAGTCACGTTAGAGAGGTAAAGGAAAATGAATATGAAATAATAAAGCGCGAGGGCTAAATACTAAAACAGAATTAAATAGTAATATAATCAAATAGCTCAATATAATTAACGCTACATATAGCATATTTTATGTACATAGTTGGTGTGAAAATTGTATGACACGAATTCACAACGCGATTCCTCATTTAAGATTTTTATTTAGAAAATTCACAAACGATGAGGTATAAAAAAGCATTTTATATATCATAACAATGAAATAAAACTAATAAAACAAAATATTTTTTTGTCTACTGATTTAAGTTTAAGATTAGAAATGAAGAATATTACTACTTATAATAAGACACGTCAAGTTGTGCATTAGAAATTCTGTAGAATGGTGTTTCTGGAGAGTAAGTTTGAATTTTATAAATTTATAAAGTTTGAATTACAATGCGATTCTTGACTATGAAATAGTTTTTATATTTTATTCGAAAATCTAATTTAAAATCATATCACGCACCATATTCGTAACTCGTCAGAATCAGCAATTTGGAAAAATTAATTGGTTGTTATATTTTAGTAGGTTTACACCTACTTATATTCGTTTAAATGAATCATTGTTATTGAACTGCAAAAAAAGTTTACATATATCTTATATGTAATGCTCCTACACCCTGTTTCCCCACATAGGATTTAAGTATTATACACTGCTGTGTCGTAGTAAATTTAGTTGTGGCATATATTATTATATATATATATAGGAACAATTATTTTGATGGAAAGTTTTGTTGAGTATTTTACATTGGAACTTATAGGTACTTATGGAATACATTTCTGCATATAGGATTTAGTTGAACATAAAAATGTAGGATGGTTCGTAAAATGTTAAAGCTATTTAAGTATCTCTTAAGCTTACTAAAAGTGGATTTGAAGGGATGTCATTATTGATTGTTTATCTAACTTTGTTCAAATTCCGAGAGAAGATGATATGCTTTATATACGCGTTTTAAGGCAAAAGTAAAGCTATACAAAAGTTTCACTCAGCACTTTTTTAGATTGAAAATAATTTAACTAGGATTGTACTTTAGATTGGTCATTTTTCAAATTTCCTAAGTATTAAATTCTTCGGGAAATTGTTATAAGTACGATGCATAAATGTATTTTTAATTTTATGATATAACATCATCTGCACTGATTTTCCATGATTAATGTAAGTTTAAAATATGTTCTTTACACGATATAATCTACTATAATATTATAAATACGTAAAAAGGTTACACACCCAATTTTTTTTCAATATTTTTAAAATATATTCGATAATTTAGATTTCTATGTATACAATCACATTGCACAGTTAATAGATCATCGTTGTCGATATTTTAGTAAAAAATATATATTAATGGACCAAATCGATTTAGCTAAGTTATTAAAATGTTAAACGGTATAGAGCAGGGGTGGCCAACATGAATAGGTTCACGGGCCACATAGATACCATGAGTCAAAATATTTATAGACACATTTTATGTAATTTGATAATTTTTTATAAGTTAATACCCTAAAAACTTAAAATTCATAATAATATTAAGTAGATTTTGATTTTGTAAATAAGACGCGAGCCGCATCTGACAATGACGAGAGCCGTATGTAACTCGCGAGCCGCAAGTTGGCCACCTAAATGGTATAGACTGAACAAAGATAATATTATTAATTTTAGACAAGTTTGCTATAATCAATAAAAATATCGCTTAATATACCTAAAACGATTATTTTGTGACTATTTTGTAACAATAATATCTAGGTAATTGCAAATATTATTGTAATAAAGTGTGGCGGCGGTGACGATTCGGCGGATCGGACCCTGGTCGTACGATCGTTGGAAAGTAAAAAATAAAATAAAAGGGTAAATTTATTTTGTGTTATGTATATAGTGTGTGTGTACCATTTTCGGCCCCGACTAGGTTGCCGACGCCGAATCGATATTCATCGGGTGAGTCATCCTCTATGGCGGCGAGAGGGGTTCTTGTCGTCGGTGTATAATATGGTCTGTTACGGGGCAGAGGGTGGTATGGGCGGACTCTCGAGCACGACAATCGAGCTTTTTCGTCGATTGCACCGCGATAATATTAACAGTATGTCATCATGTATACTGCCCCAAGACATCGATGCCTCCCGTTTCCCGATACAATAATCGAACGATTGCGACCACAGCAGCGCAAATAAGGGACGGCGACGTGTACACACACGCCACCACCGCTGCCGCCGATCAGTGTGTGTCTCAAGGGCTATGCCGCGACATGAACGCCGGCGAATCGTACAAGGTGCTCGTGCTGGGCGATTCGAACGTTGGCAAAACATGTCTGATGCACAGGTTCTGCGACGAGACGTATTACGACACGTACATATCGACAATAGGTAAGTTATAATGTTTTTGAACAGGTGGCCGGATTTAGACGGCGGCTTGTTGCGAAAATTGCCGAATTTTCTTTCGGATAATATCATTATAATTCGCTCCGTACGTTTTAATTTGTATAAAATATTAAATTATATAGTACCTATGCTTAAAAAATATACTACGTGTTGTAATATTCTACCCGCAGTCAGATTAATTGATTATCCACCGTTAAAAATTAACTCATACGTACAATATGTTTATTTATATTCGTTTTTAATATTGCTGGCTACAGAGCCTATAGAAATATTATTTCTCAGGTGTTTCATTTAATGCAGTGATACAGTATAGTTATAGACTGAAGTGTGTTGTGTGTATTGTATGTGTATACCGTGTATTTTATCAGTTATGAAATTGTACCTCATTTGTGTGTTACAATACGCATAGAGTCAAATTATTCATAAGAATAAGAATAGGTAGAAGCGAAGTGATTTTTCCCCACACAATCTAGGTATCTCGTTTTTATGGGAAAATTTTAAAAGCATATTTTCACATAATAAATCATAAATTGGGTTATTAAATAATTAAAGCTAAAGATTAAAGATTTCATTAAATAAATAAATATATTATTGAAAATGGCTTGAAATGATTCAGGAAAGGTCAAGTGTTTTTTAACCAACCACTCCTATTTATGTTTAATGTACAAATGTAAATTTATATCCATAACTTCACAAACAGCTAAACATTTACGGAGGGACTCTTAATAATAATAATATAATACCTTCACTGACTGTAGAAAAAACAATTACACATCCTCAAAATATATGCTATCAGGTGTGCAGACTTCACGCCCTATATACTAGCTCGTCGTTAAATTCATCAATGGTGACCTTTGTGCGTAAGTATTAAATGTCCTTGCAGTAACCTACATTATACCCAAAACCTAATTTATGATGTGTATAATGTATGACCTAATATATATTATAAGGTGTACACTGTAGTAATCGAGTAACATATACTAAACAATAATATTTTATTCAACCACAGGTGAATATAATAAACGAGCGTATAATTACATTATACATTTTTAGCGTGCAGTAACAATAAACACTACTATTTACATTATATTATATCATATGTTTAGCTAATACGCCTTGTAAATGTATCTAATATTAAATATTTTTCAAGTGTTTACACGCGATTTGATCAAGATTGTAGACCACCACATAAATATATATGAACAAAATATTATGTATCACCATTATGGCTCAGAAGAATACGATTGATAATGGAATTGTTTTTCGACTAAATATGTATTATTATTAAAATAAATAAAATTTTAAAAATTAGGATATTTTTTTTGTATACATATAGTATAATATGTACTATCTAAGTAGGTCTGCTGGTATGGGTAATGTTTACACAGTTTCGTGATGAGTATCAATGAACGGATAATATATTAATATACGTAGGTATAAATTATATGAGATAAAGTTTGTAGTTGTACATACGCATTTTATATCACATGTGACTAAGTAAAAATATATTTTACACCTCAATTCAGATAGAAAATTATTGAATTATTGTCATCGATATTGTTACGTGTATATATATATATATTATATAGGCACCTAAATATATTATTGTATACGATATTTCTGAATGATTAATGCTGTATAAAGGGACAAACAACCACATATATGTATAAAATGATAGATATTTATTGATATGAATATTTTGTAGAATATAGATATTATACACTATATATCGTTGAAACTAGGTTTCGTCGTGCGAAAGTCGAAACCAAACGTAATTCGACTAACATTCCGTCGGGCATTTCACCAAAGGTACATCCCATATTAGATAATATGGTAATTTATTATGTGGTTGCTATTGCTGTGTACGACAATGAAACCTTTGGTTATAATAGGTATATACATAATATAAATACAGTGTAGTTTCATCGTATTTTTCCTAACCAATACAATTTTTTTTTAATTTAATATTTTTGAAGTATGATTTTTTAAAAAAGATCATTACTTATTATATGTATATTAGAGACCAACAGCGCAATTATTAAAATTCATAATGTTATGTATAAAGTTATAAGTAAACACAAAATAAAAATAAAATGTTTTCTCGTGTTTTGTAACATTTTGAGGTAGGTTCAATTTAAAAAGATAATTATGTTAATATATTTTAAAAGTTGAATTTATTACTATAGATCCCATCAAATATTTCAATAGTTATGTATAGATAAATAAGAGGGTAAGGATGATTAATAATGGTAGATGGGTGATGAGGACAAACAAATGGAAAAAACTCTGTATAGATGTATAAATATATAATAAACTATAATACACACACATATTTAATGATTTTATTTCATTTTAATTCAAATTGTATCATTGATATTATAGCAGAAAAATGTTGGTATCGTTCAAATTTTAAAATTTTACTGAATTATCGTCATTACGTTATCACGCTTTAATGTTAAATTATACCTACTGAAGAATATTAGATATCTACCTTTTTTTTCATTGTCGTTAAATCGTCGATTACAAATTGTTTTAATTATTTACTTAATAAAATCGTACTTGGGATTATCAAACATTTAACGATGATTTTATTGTATAGCTCTTGATGCGTAATCCGTATATCAGTATTTCAGTGTGACGGATAACAGATAACAGATAATGATTGTTATTCATTTAGAATATTATTGTTATAATAACTAATATAACATAAAATGCTTTGGCCATGTACGGGTTATATTGCTCTTGTTAAATTAATTAATTAATTAATAAATATTACAATCAAATAGAAAAATTGGGCCATAGATAAACCTATAAACAAACAATTTTTTTTGTTTTTTGAAAATACTTATAAAATTGGATGTAGATCATTGTTACTTACACGTGTTTTGAAACTACAGAATATTAGAACAGCCGGAAATTTACAGCTCGTTCATGTTTTACGCGATGATAATTTTCTTTTTAGTTACGTTTTCTGTGACGTGTTTCCTGTACAATTATCATTAAATTTCGTGGGTGGTTGTTGTACGGTATTTAGGTTATTTTACAATGTGTACCCATGCAAATCAAATAGTTAAAAGGGGTAAAATTGTACAATTTAACATCGTTATACAAGAACATATTTTATTTATATATACTAACGCGACGAATCGTAAAATTTAAAAATGTAAATGCCGAGGCATTTTAGAGAATATCATAAAACAATAATATAACTGCTTATTATAATTTATAAGACAATAATAATATTAATGTTTTCGGATTTCAGGAGTCGATTACAAACAGAAGATAATTCAATTGGACGAAAAACCGGTAAAGTTACAAATATGGTAAGCCAGTGCTTATAATACATTCTATGATACTTGTATTTAAAATAGTTAAGATTGATATCTGTAATTAAATGACCTTTTTGGAACTTATCTAACCGTAAATAATTTTGATAAAGCAATATTTTTTCGTCATTATTGGTGTAGTCATTTTCGACAGAAACTAAAATCAAAATACTAATATAATGCAGTATAATATAACTGCAGTTATCTTCGTCCTAAAACATCTAAAACAAATTTTCCTAATAAGTAGGTACCTATCTAACGTTTAAGCTCATTGATTTTGAACGAATTAAATAAATAAATTGTATAACTATGAAGTTATTATAACGTAATATGTCTGTAGAATGTTATTATAAATTTTATTTCTATTTTATTAATATACGCGAATTCAAATTGAATTAAAATTCTCAGTAAAACACGGAAATTGTGCTATGTTATGAAAATATACAATTTAACACTGATCAAATAAAATTACACTTCGTTATAGTAATGATACAGTTTGTTATTTATTTCACTAACGCATTATATTATATTATTTATTTTTGCATGCACATTAAATGATGTGTATCTATCTACTTGTTACATGACCAGTGATTACTACAGTTGTTGTTTACTGTTTTGATGAGTGTATTTTTATTTTAAGAATATAAGTAAATGGACTGCATGTTATAGGCATTAGATTCTTACTATTTGAAAAAAATAAACGTATCTACACACTATCATATCATTACGTAATATTATAAAACAATCATAATATCAAATTTAATGTAAAAGCCAAAAAAGTGTTATTTGATATTTTTCATATTTATATGAAACGTATTTCATCACATATTATGAAAAATTGCACTATTTAAAAATAAATCCTATTTGTATTTCATAAGGGAACGTTTAAAGAAGATGTATTATTGAAGCATCAAGTATTAATTACTTTCACATAAAGAATAATTGAACTTAATATTTTATACAAAATGGCTTGATTGAAAAAAACTGAATGCAAATCGTTTGATCTAAAATGAAAATTACTACAGCGAAACAGTTACGACGAAATATTTAATTCATATTTAATAATATTATAACTCAATAGATTCCACTTATAATATAGCAAGGACAAACAATATCATCATCAGGTGTGCAAAATATGACATAAAGTCAATACGATTTCGTCTCGGTTGACAGGATAAATTATTTTTTTCAATTATTATTAATTGACAAATTTTGATGTTCTGGTATTGCACTTCAATGAATAATATAATATTATTAAGCTAAAAAAATTATTATTATTAAGTATAAAAATAAATGTCACTAGTATATTAAAATTAAATAATCAAATGATTTATGTAATTGAATTGTTTAATCTTTCGACGATACTAGCCGGCTTTTAATTATTATTCTCATTTTATAAATTAATTGGGTAGGTATATTTTTGTATAAAACTTTTCAATTAGATTTTACGTGTTAGCAAAATTTGTAATAACATTAACATTGATAACATATTGTATGACTTTTATTATTGTTTTTAGTTTTTTTTAAATTAAAAAAAAACCTATACAATAAAATGCCAAAAACAATTTTAGCGTATATATTTGATGTAACCAAATATATATATATTAAATATAAATATAAAAATATAATAATATAATATAATATTTATTATATATAAATATATATTTATTTATGTATAATAAATAATACGATAATAGAACAATAAGACTGTCTTATGAAACATTAATAAAAAAAAAAAGTAAAATTAATTAGGTAACGACAATAGTCTTATAAATATAATTAATGACATAGAATATAATATATACCAAATGAAACCAGGTAACTACAAATTTAAATAAACTATAAAATATGATGTATACATTTATTATATAACATGTTATAAATGAAAGATATTTTTATTTCTAAGGATTTATGGTGTATTAATGTATTATGCTATATAAAATTGTATAAGACACTGCAATAAAATTTATTACCGTTGTTAAAACGATATCTAAAAAAGTTGAAATAAGTTTTATTAGCATCGAATCCGATTTATATTTACAAGTATTAATATACGAGTATACAGCCGAACAAAAGTAATAAAAGTGTTGTGTAGATTTTTGTTTTTTTTTTAAGGACTGCGAATCTCATTTTTTCGAAAACTTTTAACGTTTCTGGAAATATTTTTCCCATAGATATATTTTTTAAGGTTATTATAAAACAACATTTTTGAAAAAAATATAATAATTTTATTGTTATTATTATCCTTTTGATTATTTGTTAATTGCTTATTTTATTGAATAACATTATATATTTTTAATTTTATATTCTAAAACTTCAATTGTTAATTTAAGAATTTTGAACAAACTTTCATTTAGTTATGACTATTAATAATTAAATACAATAAATAATAAACTACTTGTGCGACAGAGTCCTTAAACCAATGTATAACTAGTGTTTAAAAATTTCATAAAATATAAAATTAAATATTTCAAATAAAATTTGTTTTTTTTTTAATAAACTTTATTTTTATATAATTATTAGCACACTTAAGCATGGTTTCCACACTTATGTCAAATTCACTTTTTGAAAATCCAATGCACTGCCTGAAACAATAAGGGTGTAGAAACAACATTTTATAGTAAATACATAGATAGGTATGCTGTAAATAACAATAAAAAATAAAAAAATACGAAAAAACAATTTCAAATTAATAAAATTATATGTAAAAATAATCATGTTGTCTTATGTCATGGATAAGTTTTTAAGTTATTTTCCTGGCATAATTCAAAAGAAAAAAAATGTATTTTAAAATAAAATTTACTTATTCTCTTATGTAAATATTTCTGATTTATCTTTTCTTTTTTCTTTATTAACAAAAAAGAACTTTGTATAATATTAAAGCTGTATAATAATCTGCGATTCTTTACTATGATATTAAAAACACTAACCTATTTAATTATTATAACATTTACAGGGACACTGCCGGGCAAGAGCGTTTCCGAACACTGACTACGGCCTACTATCGAGGCGCAATGGGTATATTACTCGTTTATGACGTCACGAATTTGGATTCATTTGACCATTTGACGTATTGGTTGAAGAATATTCAAGAAGTGAGTTTTAACGCACTGTTTTATGGTATAATAATCGCGAACGAGATGGTCTAGTTATTAAATATATATTTTAAATTTAACTATTAACATTTAACAATTAAAATATTGCAATGTAAATGATGCAATGATTACATATAATAATATAATAAATATTTTTAGAACGCTTCGCCGGATGTAATTAAAGTTTTGGCAGGTAACAAATGTGACAACGAGACAGTAAGAGCCGTGGACAGAGCAGACGGAGAAAAAGTGAGTATTCGGAGAATTTACCTATATACGAATTGTTTTACAGAGCGGTCTATTGAACCGAGATTAAACATATTTTTCTACGTTTTACGATTATATTTGAAAATTAATTTATAAATCCATGCAGCACAAATGGTCAATAATATTATTTACGAGTATACATAATATATTATATACATTATATTTTACTGTATAATACTAAATATTATGCATTGTATTTCCTATTGTGAATAGATAGCAGAATGCTACGATATGCCGTTTTTCGAAGTCTCGTGTAAGATGGATGTCAATGTGGAAGAAGCATTTCAGGCATTGGCTAAAATGATTAAAGAACGTTCCAAATATTCGGTGAGCTTTTACATATAAACATGATATATTTATATGATGTGATTTTGATATTATATTATATTACTAAGTCAAATAAGTCAATAAAAAGATATTATCAATATAATTAACTATTTTTATGTATTATCTATAAAAATTCCCAGAAAAGTAATCTACTTCAAATTAAAATTAAATGCTGCTATTCAAAAATATGAAATCTTATAGAATGACTTAGTAATATTAAAAAAAATATTTATAATTTTTTTGTAAAAAAGAATTTTTATACAGATTTAAAATTGTAAAAAAAACCATTTCCAAATATGTATTAACACTTTTCATGGAAATGAGGTTTAACTTTAAAAGTTACTCCATATATTATATCATCTACTTATAAAAAAAAAATAATATCAAAGTCTTTACGCAGCTTTCTTATTATACATATTATATAATTTCTGGTTAATCTTTATAGGCCATATTTTTAATTTATCTAGATAGCTAAATTAAATACTTACTCTTAAAGTAGTTATATTAACTCCACTATATAAAAAAAGATTTCATCTCATATTTTAATAATTTTCTACCTATTTCTATAATTTCAAAATATTCAAAACTAATAAAAATAGAATTACTATAGATTATCTCTAAAATTGAATAATCTATTTATCTATTTTATTTCTTTAAATAAATTTGAAATTTAGATTGGGGTAAGGACTATCTCCTCATCAAGCTATAGCTATAATTTAAAGAAATATGTAAATACAATGTTTTAGAGAAAGGAAAATAGTACGTTAGTCCTGTGCATACATTTAATTTGATTAATTTGATCTAATTAAAGCCTTCGACGTGGTCAATTAATACTAGAGACTAAATAAAATTAATGATATTATATGGATATCTAGTTTTGCGCCATATCTCTTGTCGCATCATCCTATACTTAATATAAAAAATGAATGGTAAAAATAAATAATATCATTAGTGATGGTTGAGGACAGTAGTGCTGCTCCCCTTAAATTACCCCCCTCCCCCCCAAAAAAATAAAAAAATAAAAGACACACTCGGTGATGGCTCCTTCTTACAACGTATTATAAATATGTGCCTATCTACAATAACATAATGTATTATTTACATACCTATTAGATATTTTGTTTGTTAATTCATACATTTTATTATTTATAGGGAGCGTTCGGGCTGAGAGATGAAACACCGAGGGAAAAATGTTCACCACTTTTCGAAAAAGCTTTTGCCGAATCTACACGGAAGTGTAGTTCCTGTTAATATCCATAAATTCAATAATAATAATAATCATAAAAATTTAGCTATTTTTATTTTCATGAAAAATCTTAAAGCCTATTATAATAATACACGTGTTGGCTATTATATTGCGTCTATCCGACATCGATAAATTAAATAATTATATTAAAACGACGGAACTAAAAGTGATTATTAGTGATTACTATAATACAATATTAGTAAATACATAATAAAATACACATATAATATTATAACGTTATTACACTATTGTAATAAATATACTTAAATAATACGTAATAAATTGGATTTATTACCTATATGGGTACTCATAATCATATTTTGTAAAGTTGAAAACTTGAAATGCATAAAATTGTTCTTTTACCGTTAGAGTAAAATTTAATTCCCCGCGAGTAATATTTTTTTCAGAATACATATAAACATATTATATGCGTTATTTAATACGTTCTATCAAAAACCGAAATAAATACATAAAGTCTTTAAATATAGTTTAATATACACACGTAAACAGCGTTCCATCAAATAATGACAGGGTCAGGTATTTTACTTATTCAGACACAATGTTTCAATTAAATGTTTACTGTTTACGTAATTTTTCAAACAGTTATAAATTACTATTTATAACTATATTACTATATTACTATAATATTATGTATACTCAAAACAAAATTATTAAAATATAATTAATACATAATGAAAAAATACATATAGCTACGAATCTTTCACGTTTTGTCTTTATATTTTATATTATTGTTTCTGATATTATTAATATTATTATTATTATTATTATTATTATTATTATTATTATATGAATCTATATAATATTTTCCTGCAAATTCACATGTATTTTTTTAAATTTTTTTTTTTTTGATTTATACCTTTTTGATGTTGTACACCTTTGTTTATTATAATCCATTAATACATTTAATAAATTGGGAATGTAATACAATTTTTGAAATAATCATCTTTATTATTTTATTATTATGTTGTACCTATTTACTATATCTAATGAAATTGTGTGAATGAAAATTAAAAAATTCGGTAGTCGAATACGAAAATAAGTGAATTCATAATCCACTAAAAGTAAAATATTAAACTGTATTTTTATATACATTTTGATATTTTGATAATAATAATACATAACAATTTCATGCAAATATGTATATCAATATACTTTAATATTGAATATTAACAATAACTTACATTAATTTTTTTTTATTAATGTTTATGTATAAATTGTATTAATTGTACAGAGTTTGAAATAGCAGTCATAATCACATTTATTTAAAATTAATAAGTTTGTAATATTAAAGTAATAGTAAAGAGCTTTAAGAGGACGTCGTACCCGCATATGTTGTCTCCGTCTTACAAATGCGTAACATGGCAAATAGTACTCTCAGAAGATCACGTTTAGCTCCATCAGCGAAAATTAGAATGATTGCCTCTTTGAAATTTAAGTGAGATTATTATCTAGGGCATCTTAGGCTTTATTATATTTTAATTTATAAGCAGTTAATATGTGTTTTAAGACGTTATACCAACAATTTACAATTTTAAATGCTCATGCAACTGCTTTAAGTAAAATTTAATAAAAGCCTATATACAACACTATCTCCTGAAGACTCAATCATCATTCTGATTCACTAAACTAACGTGACTCTTCATATTAAGCATTATAGTACTGAACTTATCTGTAAAATCCATAATATTAAACTTACGCCATACAAAACATATTTTGGTACTTAGAATGAAAAATCTCCAATTAATTTTATTTAGTTAAAAATTATGTGCAGAAAGTATTTGAATGGATACGATAAAGTTTAAGTATGATAACATGCAGCAAAAGTGTAAAAAATTAAATCAGGTTGTTAGGTTATAGATACTTAGCTCTAAGTTCACCAGTTTGGCGGTATATCGTATATATCATATGTTGACGGTACTTGTAACGCATATTAGACAGGTATCTATGTATTAGCAAAACAATAAAATGATGCATTTGTTTATATTGTCAATCAGATCGAATTGATCGCCGTTTAAAATTTAAGTATGTCTATATAAATTAATAAATGTTTTTTTAAATACACAATGAATATATTCACCTACCAATTTTTGGATATTCAAATAGTGTTGCGGTGTTCATATAATGTGTATGCATATGCTTTGGAATAGTTGTTTTTGTGTAGACTTAAAAAAAAAAAAAAACACTGTAATGGACAACTTTTGACTTGCAAATAGAAAGTATTAATAACTAAAAACTATATAGGAACGTACAAGTAGTTAGCCTAGTGTATACACTATTATATATTTTTCATGATTCGATAACAAATTTGTGTACAATAAGAGGGATGTGTCGCACGTATTCTGATATACTGACGAATATATTAACGATATTTTGGACCTTCTATACTATGTGAGATGTGCAGGAGAGCAATGCATTCACCACATTAATAATCACTTTGGATCCCTACCACAAATAAAAAACGAAAAAAAACGTTTTTCAGTCGTGGGCCGTTGTTATTTTACGTACGTATATGATAAATATTATTAGTATATTACTATGAACTGGGTGAATCGCTTGGTAAGGATATATGTTTTAATGATGTCTTGGCATTTTTATGATGTTGAACGATATTATTATGCCGTCACGGCTGTTTTTGCAATTGGTTTTTAGAATAATTTCACCCACCGCGGGGTCCCTTTTTTTTCTCTAGAGTCAGCGTTTAGGACGGATGTCACATAATACGTCTAATGTATGTATTATATTGTTGTTATATCCGAGTAAACCAATAACTGATCGGTTTATTGTTTATATTTGATTGTATAGGGTTGTTCGTCTGATCGTCTTGTTTTCTTCATATAATATTATGTTCTGTAAATGAATACAATAATGTTGTTTACATAATATTCTATCATGTCTTAAAGTAACTCATTAAAATTGTTTTATAATAAATAATTATTATGAATATTTACATGCATTTGCGTTAATTAAACAATTGCATGGACGGATTATAATATGTGATTACCGATTATGTATTATTTGGTTAAACAGTAAACTTAATTTAAAATAAAATTATGGAATTAGATGATTTACATCACATCCATTTTTAACAGTACAGTCGACTTTCGATAATTAGAAACTTTCGGTAATTCGAAGTAAATGCTAGTTCTCTTAAATATCTCGCGATAATTCGATTAAAAACCATTCATTAAGTACACTTAGAACACTCGGTAATTCGAAATTAAATTTTGGAAAAACTGGCCACTAAAACGTGACAATTCGAAGTTTCATCTGTTCAAAGTTTGGTAATTCAAAGTATAGGTATTCATCAAATATATTTTTTATAATCGTTTTATTAATAATTTACTCTACCGCCTAATTTGGTGAAATATTTAATAATTATGTATGTATAATAATAAAAAATAAAATGTTTTTCTTAACTTTCAGTAATTCGAATTTATTTTTTGCTCTCGATATTTCGAACTACTCAATACGTAATTCAAATTTTGGGTAATTCGAAAGTTTTTAAAAGTCCCGCCAACTTAGAATTATTGAGAGTCGACTGTATAATGTTTAATATACTGTATTTTTAAATCAATGGAATGATGCTTTAATGTATATTATGTTTATATTTTGTAATAATTATGATGTCTTGATGTTAATCATTATAATATAATGTTCCATTGTTTAATTTACTCATTTTATTGATCTGAAATAATTTTTTTAAATATTGTAATTATTTTGTAACTTAACGCAACGAAAAATAATTTTTTAGATTCTAAACGTACTTAATGAATGTACCTATATCGATTTTACAACGATGTATTTTTTTTGTGTCTATAAATATAATAAATAGTCGATAAAATGCTTTAATTTTCAACTTCGTGGGTGCAGGTTCTATATACAAAATTGGATCTAGATTAATATACTGCATAGAGGTCAACATTAAAAATTCTCAATCATTTTTTTTAATCGGGGTAAAACAGACAACAAATTAGGTAAAAACGGAAATTTTTACAAAACGGTGATACTAGGCCGGTAGTCTACTTGGGTGAAACACGAGTTAATCAAAATCAAACACGTGGTCGTATTTATCTAGTGAAAATACGAGAAATTTAAAAGTACTTATAAACAAAGACAAAAGGCAGTTGCTTCATCGTTTACCACTTCGAATTTCCTTACTTCGGACTCATTAATGAATTAAAACTTATTTTTCGATGCAATTTTAATAATAAAGATTATTGTATTCAAATGAATGCCACAATTTTTGAAGATTGGTTTTGTTATGTTATGTCTAAGTGCCGAGTATTATTAAGATGAAAATGCATTGTTAGTTGAGAATTGTCCGAAACCTAATGTAAAAGTCAGATATTCAACCAGTCGTGGTTAAGTAAATGGTAAGTAAAAAATATAGAATTGTTTCCAGTAAAAACGCTTGATGATTTATGGGTAAAAGTGAAATTCACAATGCCACGTGAGAAAAGTATAAATTTGATGAACTAACATTCCAAGACGACAATGAGGGCTAAATTATTTCATTTAGAAAATTAATTTTTTTTTGTGAAGATTTTAACAGATAATAGTTTTAAGTATTATTAGTTATTTAGTTATTTAATTAATACATATATATATATATATATACATAAATATAGAATATAAATAAAGAATGTAAATAATAAAAATATTAAATTTTTAGTCTTTATAATATCTCTGGGGCTTTTTAAATTATTTTACGCGGGAAAGCAGTCATAGAAGTGTAACAAGAAATTGGCCACCAGATGAGCAATAATCAACTACCTTATTTTATTAAAAGTATTAATATGTTTATCATATTATATATTTAATTTTTATCAGAAACCAATGTTAAAGATTCAGCCTTCAATATTCCTTAGATCTAAGCAATTTTCAACACGGGTTGATAATAGTGATAACACTGATAACACTAAAACAGTACTTCAACACCGACTTATCGTAAAAACTTATTTGTTTGCTGAGGTTCTTACGTTTCAAACTTTCAATTCGGATTCATCGTAGCTGTTACGAGTTGTGACTTGTGATAATGGGAGACAATCTAGTAGTGTCGGCGTCAACAGGTAAAACTGAACCGCTACAGGAACAGAGAATTTGGAAAATTATTGTATTGGGTGATGTGAATACTGGTAAGACTTCTATTATTGAACGATACTGTGATGGGAAATTCAAGGATAACCATAAAATGTGTACAATAGGTGAGTAAGATATGTAAGTCTGCACTGGTATCGCTCATTTGCGTCAAAAAAAATTAATTCGTTTTGGGTACAGCCCTAAATTTTCACGGCACACCAATCCATATAATATTTAAACATAGGTACATATGTACACTATTTATCGTATACTTTGTTAGATGGTTAATTATTATGAAATAAATTAATACCATGATGAAAAACTGTATTAGAAGAAATATTTATTGTGAATGTACATATTATTGTAATAATAATAGTATATAAATAAAAATATATCTATCAATGAAATATATGTGCTTGACGTGTGATGCACAAGTGTTTAATTTGAGAATAAGCTGTCAATAAGCTTACTCTCAAGTTTCAGTTCTTCTGTAGATTGAAGTCTTTCTCCTTTTTTCTTTTTATTGTTGTATTTACAACATGGAGAATAGTAGTAAAATTTTTATTACTTTTATCGATATTTTAAGAAACTGTGTTTGAGCATATTTGTAGTATACCGGTTGAAAATCATTGATATAGATAGATCAGATAGATTAAAGACTAAATGCATATATTAGTCTTCATTCTGTTATTTCCTTATTAAATATCTTGTTTATGTTATAATAATGTTAGCTGTTAAATATTTATACATCATATTTGAATATCAGTGTTAAATTTTATTTTTATTAGGTATAGATTTCAAAAAGAAAATAATCAATTTTGAGAACAAAACCATCATTTTAAACATTTGGTAAGCATTGTATTGTTTGTACATTTTTCAACATGTTTAAATCATAGATATTTTTTGAATTAAATAGTTGGTAGAAACTAGAAAGGGTGTTTAAAGGTCTGAGTTCTTGAAATCAACAATTGAATAACAACCAAAACTTAAAAGAATTGCGTATTTGAGATTAAAATATTACTTACTATTTAATCATACAAATTTATGTTGATTTAATTATTATAAATTTTTGTTCATTTTTACTTTAAGGGACACAGCTGGAACTGAAAAATATCAATCTTTAATTCAATTGTACTATAGAGATGCCAAGGGAATATTTATTGTATATGATATTACAAATATGAATTCGTTATTCAAGTTGAATACATGGATGGAAAATATAAGCGATGTTAGTATTCAATATTTAACAAAAGTAATTTATGTACATTTTTGTGAGTATAAATTTATGTTTTTTATAAAAAATACTGAATAGGTATTAACTTAAATCAAATGCAATCTTTCTATTTTTGTTAATTGTTATATTTTTAATATATAAATGTAACCATGTATGTTATTGGGTATATAAAATATTTAATAAGTATTGTTACGGTATGATATACTATATTTAGGTATGATACTATCAGTAAATTAGCAGTGTTTGAACTGTTTTTGGTAGCTATATATAACAAATAAATTATTAATTAATGGTATTTATAATATTTAATTATTAATCAATAGTATTTATAATTTATCTATTTTTTTTTATTTTAATACATTTAAAAAATGTGTTATATTGCATCATACTTTTTGTATACTAAAACAATTAATAAACTTAAATTAATTTATTCTTTATCATTGCACTTATTATAAATATATCCTCATTTGATGGTACGTATCATTTATATAGTGGATCACATTTAAAAAACAACAATAATTCTATAATCAATTTTAAAAATTAGGTATCATATAAAAAATTTGTTTTAAGTTCTAAATATTTTTGCTTTAATTTTTAGTTTGCTCCTTCAAATACGGTAAAAATTTTGATTGGTAACAAATGTGATTTAGAATCAAACAGAGAGGTATCAATTGAAGAAGGAAAACTGGTAATAATGAGTTGTGACTTGTGATTAATTAAAACAAAAAATTACACTATATTTAATTCAAATTATTATGAATTTTAAATAAGAATTATTTTCATTAACACTACTGTTAATAAAATTTGGATATTTTTGAAGGTAGCTGAACACTATGGAATTCCTTTTTTTGAACTATCTTCTAAAAACAATACAAATCTAGATGATTCGTTTTTGAAAATGGTTTCTATGATTAATGAAATGGAACTTGAAATTGAAATTAAAAAGGTAATTTAAATGAGTATCTATTTAATTTTTTTTTTCTGTATTGAGTTATATTTATGTATGAACAATAATTTATAAAATAATAGTTGTTTTACTTTTATTGTATAATAATATTGTATACATTGATTATTGTTCTATAGGACATTGTGATTTTAGAAGATAAATTAATGCTTCAAGATATTGACATCCAATCAAAAACAAAGTGTAGCTGTTGATTTAAGATGTGATTATAAGAAAAAACATGATAACATTTTATATTAATGTATGTTTTAATTTCACTCATAAGTTATTAATATTAATTCTATGATTATAAAATGTATCATTTTTTAAACAGAAATCAAAAATCCTAAGGAATATATTAAAGGATTTATAGATATCGAAAAATCTTGAAAAAACTACTCCTCAAGAGACTATTAAAAATTGCTAATGAACAAAATGTGTTACCAGATTTCCAATTTGGTTTTCGCCCAAAACACGCCATTTTTTACCAACTACAATGGTTGTTGATTTAATTGCCATCTGTTTCAAAACGAAGAAATACTGTTCCGCAGTATTCCTCGACATCGCCCAAGCATTCGACTCGATCTGGCAAACCGGCCTGCTATACAAATTAAAAAAATCTATCCTGCGCCATACTATCTCTTACTTAAGTCCTACATCGAAAACAGATCATTCAATGTTAAAATAGAATCCACCTTCTCCGACTTACAATATATTTGCTGGCGTACCTCAAGGAAGTGACATTGCCCCGTTTTTGTACATCATATTTACAGCGGACATTCCTACCACTGAAAACACTACTATGGGTACATATGCAGATGACACTGCCATTGTTGCCGCTGACTGATCCAGACATTTGCTTCCATCATCTCCAAAACCATCTCAACATGCTTTCAAAGTTGTACAACACATGAAAAATCAAAGTAAACGAACTTAAATCTACACATATCACCTTCACCCTCAGACCTAAGGACTGTCCTGAAGTTTCTTTTAACAATTTAGTAATTCCCCACTCAAGAAATGCTAAATACCTCGGCCAGCTATTCAATAGGAGACTCACTTGAGGTCCTTATCTTAAAAACAAAAGGAAACAGCTTAATTCCCGCCTACACCTCATCAGACTTCTCCTAAAATCATAATAATCATATATGAACCTGTTTTTCTGTTTACTCTTATACAAAAGTCTCCTTCAACCAATATGGTCATACAGAATCGCCCTCTGGGGCACTGCCAAACCATCAAACCTTCAAACAATTCAAGCTTTCCAATCGATATGTCTTCGCATGGTCACCAAAGCACCTTGGTTTGTAACAAACACTGCTGTATCAAGATCTCAAAGTCCAATTCGTCAACCAAACAGCAATAACATTCTACTCAAGACTTCACTGTAAAATGCAAGGCCACTCAAACAAACTAATATCCAATCTTCACTCAAAATATCTTCCCAGCAACCCTACCAGCCGACTAAACAGAAATTGGCCCAGAGACCTTATCTAAAATTGTATTATATTAATTTAACTAGACTTTAGACTCATTGAAAGGTAGCTCAACTATGAGCTTCCCTTCACCACCCCATCATTGTCATCCCTCTCACCAATTTACTCATTTTACAAAATTGTATAGATTGTAAATTTTTCAATAACTGCTATTTAAAAAAATATATTTTATGAATGTAAAAACTTTAGATGGTCTTGATTGGAAGTTGGATGATTTTGATTTATAATTATAATTTTATGCCATATTCTTTGCAAGTATTTTAAGAAGTGAAAATGTATTACAAAGATAAATATATTCACATTCTTAACACTGAATTACAAGCATTTTTGTTTTTACATTTTTATTAAGGCTGAAGATTTGAATGACATGCAAATAAAACAATAAAATTAAAACATTTGTTATATTTTTTTTACTACTGAAAAACGCAGTACAAGAATACAAGCGCATTTGTTTACCGCAACACATTTATTGTTTCAATACAAAATTTTATAAACTTATATAATTATGTAGGAGTGCATTTTCAAAGTTGAGGCTTTGAATAGTTAACCATTAAAGTACTGATAAAATGACAATATAATATTGTCACTTGTGTGGCCATTATTAGTATCCAGTGATATGCTTAAGTATGATGAACACGTTTGAAAATGAATGGCGAAATACATTGTATACATTTAATATTAAAATGTTATGTTTGTTTTTCATACAGTTGAAGTAAAATAAACAATAAGTAATTATAATAATATAAACTATAAATTACTGGGAACAAAGGGAAAATGATGAGTAGGTAATGATATAAATTAAAAAACAGTTAATACAATGTAATATTATAATATTAATATGTAGAGGAAAAAATAAAAAAGAACAGGTAGGTAACCGCGATTAAAGCTGTTGTGAGTATAATTTATTAAATATTTTGTATGATAAAATTGAAACGATTTTGTATTTTTACAGTCGCTAAATAGGTCATATCTCAAATAGGTCTACAAATAAAATAATCGATTTAACTGCTGCGGGCAAGTTTCTGAGCGGTTGACAGCTGACACAATAATTAATTAATAATTAATAAATATTAAAACGTTATCCCGTACAGGTATTAAGTTAATATCAACCACGGTATAAGGTGTTCTAAGTTCCAAGATAACCGTGGTTTAAACGATTTACTTGAAGACGTGATATTATAATATTATACAGAAAGAAAACAAGTGATAAAAATTAAAATATTAAATCAAATCGTTTTAAATAATAATTCTAATAACATCACAATATATACATGTTATTATATATATATACCTAGGTACTTATTATTATAGTAGTAATATGTATACATATAATAATAATTGTTGATAAATACGTAATTTTAACATAATATTTTATTAAAATATAAAATATTACTACATAGTCTAAAATAATAATAATGTAAAGCTGATCATGATAATAAATACGAGACGGTATAAAATAAAAGTAAACAACAATAATTATATTATCTATAATACAGGTCACGGACGCGATGTGGTTGCTGCCGTCCGCAATTTACTATGAGTATAATATAATGTTAATTAATATGGACTGTTATCGTCATTAACCCTGGTACAAAATTAATATCGAACCAACGATTGGACACGCGATTATTATATTATTAAAGTTAATACGGACGACGCGTTTAACATTATATTTTGTATTTTTATGATTATTTTATAACATTATATATTTATAAATATGTAAAGCTATCACAGCGCGGTATTATTCATTAATAATTATTATATTGTTTTGCTCGTACGCCAAACGGAATGTCGTCTCTTCGTTCGACATCCGAATATATGCGATAACTGTGCCGCTGGTGATGTGTCAAGTCGATGATCAGATGACGCTGGACGGAAGTATGTCCAATGGTCTAGTCAGCGTGCTGGTGCCGTTTTCGGGGCAACCGTTTTGCACGAGCAAGTCTGTCAGTGGACCGACGTCTTGGACGGATGCGGCACCGGCGGCGCCCCGACAAGCCGTTCGCACATGTTGCAGACACGTTCGGCCCTCGTGGTCCACGGCTTTGGCGTTTGCTTTGTACTGAGGTGATAACGAAATACGAAATTAATGACATCATAATAATATAATATAATATATAGTTGTTAAACGAGTAAGGGAGGGGGGTTTCATGGTCGTAGGTTTAGCTGAATTTTAGGACGAATATATATATAAATAAAGCTTAAATTTTATGGTGATTTTGTCACTAAGATTTAAACTTATAAGTTAAAGTAATTATCTCGACTACCTAATAAAAATATATTTCGTATAATTACAGTAGGTACAGTCTGTACCGTTTTAAATTTTACACTTACCCATAAGAGTAGCTGCGCTATAGGAAGGTTGATCGCAGAACAGGCTAGGTGTAACGGCGTGCGCAAGTCTCGGTGGCTGACGACACAATTTACCTGGTCAGCACTGGCATGAGCCAATATCAACGTGAGAGCTTTCATATCACACCTACAAATGACGAAAATTAATGTATGTATAACTGATATACCTTAATTGAAAGGGCGTAAAGCCACCAAAAGTTCTGCAATTTCTTTCAAGTATACTAACGAAAAAATCATATTTTTTGGGATAATTTTTGAGAAAAAAATTGTTTAACTCTCAATTAAAATAATAAACAATTTAAATCATGACTCACCTGTACACGGCGTCGATGAGCTGCTGCGATAAGTTGGGCGTATGACTTATCGCTGGTAGGAACTCTTTGGTTTCATATTTGCTACGTATCCATAATTCTTTCTCCTCCCGGCTCGAACCAGGATTGGGTTTGGTTCGATCAGGACGAACGTTGGATTCCCATACGGAATTTGCTAGATCGTTACCCATTGCCATCATTACCTTAAGGTGGGATGGTCTAAAAAACAATTTTTTTTTTTAAATGACAGTATTTATTATTATAATAATATATAAAGTTAGAGTTTTGTAAATACATTTTTATACGGGGTAGGTACATAATGAAATTGTAATATTTAGTGAAAATTAGAAATATTCAACTTTTTTAAGGTCGAAAATTCCAAACTTTATTTACATATATTTAACACTTACGGCCATCCATCCAAGTCGAGTGATCGGACTTTGGATATGTGCGATCCCAGGTTGCGGTGTATGCCAGAACACTCGATGCACATGAGTATTCCCAGATTTAAACTGGCCCAATCAGGATTCGGGGAATTGCAATCAGCACACTGCCCGTTTCCAGGTACTCGCGTCCGGATGCTTTGCACGTCTTCTGCTCGGTTATAAGACGAACCAAATTTACCACCAACATTAACTTTGTTAATCTCATTGCTCTGTAAAAATTTTTTTTATTGGTATATAAAGTGAATAATTAAAAAATAAAAATGTCTTTTATAAATACTTAGGTAATACTAATGAACACTGACTTGTAACGAGTTGAGAATCTGCTGTTCGATAGCAGCCACCCATTCGTCACGGTCCTCCGAGCTGTTAGCTTCAAATTGCCACTGTTTATTGTCCAACGATACGATTAGGAATTCGTATCCGTCAGTGTCTGCAAGCGTAAACATTAGATTATTATTTTTATTTTTTTTGAACGTTTGAGATTAGGCTAATATTATCGTTGAATGATTTTACGAATAACTTATAAAAAGTCATGGTTGTCGTCAACATCGCTTTCGATGAATACAAATTTGAGATATACAATATATTCCTAATGCTGTTGATTATTTGGTATCGTTAAATGCTTAACATAACTTTAAATATTTCAGTCGATGACTTTTAATTTGATTTGGATTTGTTTTATTGGGTATAGAACTTAATATTGTTTATTAGTTGGATTTTAAATCACAAACAACTTTGAATATTAGGTTTTTTCAATTTTAAAAATTAAGCGATTGAATTAAAAAACTCCAAATTAAAAATTCATGAAGCAGTCAAATTATACAAAATCAAAAAGAGATTCGAAAAAAATAAAATAAATTAATAATAATAAAATGATTGCATTTTAATTATTATTAATATTTTAATATATTTTTATTATATCCGTGTAATTTTGTATGATTTGTAATGATTCTGATTATTTTTAATTCACTTAAAGTCACTAAAATTTTTAGTTGAAAAAAAAAATGTCATAAATCAATATTTACATAAAAATTGTCTAAGAAAATTAACTTGATGCTATACTTATGTTTTAAAATTTAAAATTTACGTTTTTGTATATTTTGGGATGTTAGAACAAATATTTTGCTAATTTTTAACACATGAATGCATGGGTGTTAAAAGATTTTAAGTGCATTAAATTCACAGCCCTAAATTAATTATTAGGATGGGGTTTGTAAATTAACATACCTTCGCACTCTTGGTTCTTTATGTTACTGCTTTTCATCCGCCTGTGTCTCTTTTTCACGTTAGGTGTTTCGGCTTTGAGATCGCCGTTGTTGGTCGACAATGAAGTGTTCGACATACTAATTGTTGAATCATCACCGTTACTGTAAAATATACATTTAATAATAATATTTTAGAATTATTTTTATGGTATATTAAGAGCTAATATTCTACAATATGATAAAAAGTGACGTAAGTCAATCTATTTTTTAAATTAGATTTTTGATTTTAATATTATTTTAATGTTATTACATCTAACTATAAATGATAAATAACTATATATTTATCACAGTTAAATTTTTTTAGGAATACAAAAGAATGTATTTTGTTTTAATTTAGTCTGCTTAGCTTTAATTATAACAATTTAATAATCAAAGAAAAAATATATTGATCTTTGTTTACAAAAGTAAGCAATATTATAATAATCGAGATAATTATTTACTATTTCAATTTGAAAACATACCAAGCAGTTAAAACTTAAATGTAAAAAAAAAAGCGATTAAAAAAACCCAATTTTATAAAAAAGTGTTTTAAATTTTACACTACAATATATAGTGACTAGACTGCTAGGAAGTCATATCAGCATTAATGCCATTATTATTTAATTTTTTATGGCATATAATATTCTCTACCCTATAACAATAATATGCATACAATAAATTAATATAATAACTCACACTGAAACACCATTCTTATAGCTGGGCTCTTTTAGCAGTTCAAATGCAGTGAGCATCACTTTATCGGCCGTTCGTTTGTCTTTTGACTGGAAATTCGATATTGATATATTTGACATATTTTCGGATATGCCATTGCTGCTATGATGGTGGTTGGCCGACGTTGACGAAGACGAAAGCGACATGATGGTTTTCGATCCCCTGGGTTTTTGGCCGGGCACCTTGACCGTAACGTACTGCAACGATATCTCTTTACCATGCACGTCCTCCATATAGTCCTGGAAAAATACAATACACATATTATATCAGCAAGAAAAATCTGATCGTTCTCAGTTCAACTGAGAAAAAGAAGATACTTAGATTTCAAAAAATATAGTAAAAGGGGAGTATATAATTAATAATTTTATATTATAAGCGTTATTGAAAATTTATTTACGTGATATTCAATAATACTTTTTAAATAAAAAAAATAAAATGCTATATTAATATATGCTTTTAAAGCATAATTTGTTTTTTTATTACATCTATTGTTTAATTTTTAACTAGTCATTTTTTCAGTTAATTAAATGTTCATTCGTTTCTATACAATAATAACAAGTATAATTAAAAATTCTATAGACCTAAATTTTATTATTTTGATATAAAACGAATGTTTAATAACAATTTAAAATTTGAAAATGATGATTCTCGAAATTATGATACAAAACTCAATTTAACAAATTGAATCATCCAAAAATAAAAATTAATAAATAAGTGTTGAAAGTATTATTTAAAATAGCTGAGATAGTAAATCCATTAAAAATATGTTTAATACCAACAAAATTATCAAAGATTTTACTCGAATCGGCCAAATCTTTTAAAATACATTGAATTTACAAGTACCTATAGTTCAATAACACTAGGTGTTGGTGTATTTCATTATACGTATGTGGAATATTTTTGGCTAAGAATATATTTGGGGTACTTAATAGAGTGAGAAAATTTAATATCGGTTTTGCTAATAAAAAACAAGCAACCACCGCCACAAGCCATGTTAAAAATAACTGGTTATACTTATGATTCTAAATTCAATAATATTATAAATGTTGAATTTTATGGATAAAAATTATATTTAATAAATAAGTGTATACTGACATGCAGACTAGGATGATACGTTAGCCGCCCGTCATCACAAAGTGTGACGTATTTCTTCTTCCATTCCTTGTTGAGACCTTTACTACTGCGTTTGTACAAGTAACCCTGTTTGAGAGGAATAGCTCGGCCACTGCCTAGCTCGCCGGTGGCTAGACACCGATTCTTGTCGTCTTTTTTGGACGGGTTGAACAAGTTGGACCGCCTCCGGGTCTTCCTGGTGGTTGTAGGCGTAGAACTAGGTGTGGGCAAGTCCTTGCAGGGCACTGATAGCCCGATGGCAGCGCCAATGCTTCCACCGACGCCACTGCTACCTCCACCGCCGTCAAACGCGGTTTTCGTCGATACATTGTTATTGTCCAGGGCAATGGACAGCTCGAGTGGTTGTCGGTTCAGCGACAAGTTTGACCGGAGGACTGACTCCTTGAACGCACTGACTACGCCACTGCTGCCGTGATGGGAGGGTGACGCGCCACCGGCACCGTGTACTGGTGGCGACGGCGATGAGGAAGCCGTCTGCGAGAACGTCCGCGAACTGGTGGCCGAAGATTGCATGTGTTGATAGAGTTGGTGATGTTGAAGTTGGTTACCTGCGTAGGAAGCAGATTGCATACCACCAACTGGGGTGGTGGTCGACGAAGAAGCGGGTGTTGAACACCGAGAGTCTGACAGACAATTAGTAGACGCGGATAGCCTTTGCTGGATGATTTTTTGACAAGCTGCGAACACGTTAGGTTGAAAGTGTTATTTATTTAATTTTATATGCATAAATTATAGCTGATATTTTTCTACTAAAATACAATATATTAGAGGTAATTTAAAAATGACATATAAATACTACTGTAATATATTATATAAAAAATAATAATTTTTGTTTACAATTACTCTTGTTCGTTCGTGATGTAATTAGTTTATTTTAAGCTACTTAATACAAGTTATGAATATAAATATATTAAGATTAAAATCTTTTTTTATTTTACTACCTAAATTGTAAAAAGTTATGATCATTTTAAAAGTCGTAAACCAAATCAATAAACCTCTAACTTTAGAAAAAAATTACTACGTTCTACGTGTTTGGGGTAAAGCCTGTAAATATTTGTTGGGGGGTAGTATATTGATATGAATATTCTCGAATAGGAGTGGTGATAACTGTAAAGACAGGTGTATCATACATTTTTTATTTGTATAAATTTCCTACAAAAAACCTTAACATTTCCATGTATAAAGAACAGTAATAGTGGCGAGTACAGAATAATGAATATATCATAAATAGTGATAATTAACGAGGGTGATAAAACATTTGGGGACTTAGATATCCTCAGTGACTCTTTAAGCTTGTATAATACGTATAACTTTTTTCAGAATTAGCTAAACTAAATTACTTTAAATTATGATAAGGTAAACGCCATTAGAATTACGTGGATTTTTAAATATTCTTCTATAAATGCGGCAATGAAATGTCTGATTATCACGCCAAGCAAACTTTCTCATCTTCTTCCTTGAAACTTATTCCGCATATAATTTTTAAACACTTCAATAAACAAATCAAACATCACTTTCAATCTTCATGGTAAATAGATAGGCACAAAATAAATACAAAACTTAATTTTTTTTTTTTTGGTCATTTAATTTAAATAGAAAATATCAAACAATACTCAACCAAAAAAAAAATTAGTTTAACCTAGATTACTGATAGTAAAACCCTAAAGTTCTGATTGCTTGCAGAATGATTTAAAAGCTAAAACGCATAAAACTATCGTTAAAATTGTTCTAACTCTAGCGGAATCACTTGATCTTGATCACACATTTACCGAAAATATACTGTAATTCCTTAACTATAAACATTATTTACAATTTTTAAATAAACTTTAAAATAAAAAACAATATTTACTTAACATGTATTAACTAGTTATATTTTATAATTTTAAGACACAGTGAAACTTAGTCACATTTTTTTTCTAAATAGGTAATAATAAAAAAAAAATAGTCAGTTATTATATGCTTACCGTCTTGGAACACGCGATCCACATTTAAACCATACGTGGCGCACGTTTCATAATACGAACATCTTTTCAGGTCCGCCGCCAACTTCCTGGCTCTTGTGTCGTCTATTACTCGAGGGTTTGTTTCACTAATGGCGTCTGTAAAAGAAAAACATAGTATGGGGTTATTATTCACTGTTAAATAATACAATATATTGTATAATATGATATGGAGTCTCCGATTTTATTATTTTCTATATACATATATATAATTTGAAAACGAGAACGTCATATATTACACTATTATGTGTACACATAAAACATCGTCGACAGTCGAAAATGTAAAAAGCCATTAAGTCCGACTTAAAAGACCTTTCTTTTTATTACGGTGGTCTATAAAATAAGTGTCTGACAGTATAATGGGATACTGAAAAACAAGAAATTTAAGTATTATGATCAGTTTAGCATCGTTATGCACCCCAATATAAAATTCTGAACTTTATATAGGTATACATATATACATATATTATAACGATTAACGTGGTGTAGTTTAACTATAGGACGCGTTTATATGAAACTTCTAGAAGATAAAGAGATCGTATAAGTATCGATTTTTCTAAGCGAGTCAAAAGCCGGATGCGATTCGTGCATACAGATAGTAGTACACGTGCGCATGCCGCTACAAAGTTCTTGAATTATTCATATGTATTATATATACGCGTACTCGTCGTATGTTTTCGGAAGATTTTTTCAAGAACAAAGAAATCGCGGTCGTATACATTTTTTTATTTAATATACTCTTATAGTATGTACTCGTCCTTCTGTGGAAATTGAAAAAAAGCTGACGATGTGATGTTTATCCTCTCGATAATCACTTTCTTTTGAACTGCAGTGGCACTCGAAATCGAATTGCAACACTAGCGCCACGATAACATACGAAGTGACGTTTCGTATACAAAATAGATTACAAAACAATCTAATAGATATTTTATTAATAAATCAATTTATATAGATAGAATACTCACCCTGTGTGCCTACCAAGATGAGAGGTATTTCAGCCGAGTTTCGGTAGTGCGCCATTTTCGTATAGTATCCGTACACAGCGTTGAAGCTTGCTTCGTTCTCCAGACTAAACACAAATATCACAGCGTCTACCCAGGCAGTAAACTGTAAAATGAACGGTTTTATTAATATTATTTCACCGAATGAAAAAAAAAAAACGATAAAATCCGACTGTTGCGAAATAACGTATGTATTATCTAGAAGTAGGTAAATAGCAATATTATTAGTGATGTTTTTAAGTAAATGGTTCGCAGTATAATAGCAAAATATGTAATAATATTATGAGATATTGTTGCGAATAACGGACACCGTGCTGTTTCAAACACAGAAAACGAATACTGTGATAATACTCGGTCGGCAAAACGTGCGCCCTCGTCGGCCACGATCGTAGGTTTCAACTCTGTTGTACCGATTGCAGCACGCGCCGAATCGTCGAAAGCGGTCGATATGACGCGTAGGAGGGTTGATATTTTAGGAGGTCGTTTGGGGTTGACGATGACACATCACGAGACGAACGTACGACGATCGTACCGTGCGTTCGTTTTCAAGGACAACGGATCGCTCCGTTTTAGCGACGGACACATGGACAATATTTGGGAATTTGTCAAAAATTCTGTGGGAAGAGGACTAATTACCAAAAGCAATTAACGATTTGATTGCCAGCATTACATTCAATATTACTTATATTTTGTAATACGCTAAGTTATATAGTAATATTATAATATATTAATAAAAATACACATATATAGGTAGGTACTGTTTAAATTGCTGCAGGGTTCGGATTTATATTAATTTATTGCTTATCCAATTCAGACGCAGTGTAAAACCAGAATAATATACAGATACGCTAGATAGGTACACAGAAGAACAAAATAAGATATATTATTTTGGAAATTCTTGGATTTTTGAAATCTGTATCTCTTTACGCTCTACAAGCACATTTGTGTGAAAATTATAAAGAACGTTTGTTATTTTACAATTGAATTCATCTGAACATCTATATAATATAATATATAGGTACCATCTATGTAGGTAGGATATGGTGAATATTTATTTATCACATTTTAATGTGTTTATGACTTATACTTGAATTTCAAACGATGAATAGTAAACAAACTACGTATATTTATATCTATAATATATATATATATATAAGTATATTGTACATAGATTTCATAAATCATAGCAGGCGATGGAGAAGAAAAGACGCAGGTAGGTATATACATTTAGTTGATATTGATTTAGACTTAATGGTATTTATTGTATTGTGTAGTAGGGAATGCGATGTATTAGAAATATAAACAGTCGAATGCATCACGGCAGGCCTCTCCCCTATAAAGCAGTTGTGGAAACCCAACTGGTTGTCTGCACAGAATCATAAATATTATAAAAACAGGCGAGACATATAATTTATAATACGGCACCTTTAAGGTATACCTATATACTAAAAATGTAAGAGATTTGTTAGAAAAATGTTTAAAAAAATAAGTAAAGTAGATCTTAAGTCTATACGTATCGATCTAATCTAATCTAATCGATAATAACAATAAAAACAATTTATATAATATACAAGTGTATACATAAATTAACTTTAAACACGCACGTTTCAGTTTAAAACTTTCAAAATGCGTCTGAGAGTATAAATAGGAACCAGTCAATTATTAAAACAATTGGTTTTTATTTATACAAAATCAATCGGTAAATAAAAAAAAATCGAGATTTGTATGGTTTATCGAATACTATGAAGCATATAACATGGAAGAATACGATTTGCTCGGTAAAATCGTGTTAGGTAAATACACAGTTTTAACAATGCACGTGTATTTATTTTTTGTACAAGCGTTTACAAAATAGTATTGTGAAAATTAATAATACATAAATATGTATGAACAGTACAAATTCAGCATAAAATCGTGCATTATTCGACCGTAAAAGCGAATATTACCACCTCCCTTTATGCGGCTTTAATACGCTCCAACATGAAAGAATAGATATTTTAACATGACTCGTGTGTAAAATTAAACGCCTACTGCAATTGTATGCGACCACGCAAAGGAGGAGATGTATTAATCAAACGTAAAAGACATTATTATTATTGTGTAGGTATAAATATTTTGAAAATATTACAAAAAAAAAAAAAAAATCATTTCAATTTCAGTATTGATTGTGTACGTACTAGACGTACACCGTTAAGCAAAGCGTGTGTCGGTTATTTTATTTTTTAGGCATTTATAATATATATGTACCTATGTAATATTTGACAGAAAAGGGGAGTTTTATTTATTCATGTATAGATTATCAGAATACAATAAAATATAGTACGTGTTAAACACGTAGGTATAACATTATATTACACTCGACAGAGGAGCATAAAGTTTAGACCATTTATCTTTTTGGTTTGTTTGTAAGACACATGTTTTTTAATTTGTGTCTGGATTGATTTATTGCTCTACAAAATAATAATAATTAGTTTTAAGTGTCACTTATGTAGCTATATATTATCTGAACAAATAACTAATAATATGATAGTTGTATAATAATAGGCCAGTTGATGAAATTCGTGAAAAAGGATTAACATTACCATTTTATAATACATCATGAAGTATAGTTATAATCAAATATTTAATTATTATCAATAATGATACAAGTGTAAACCATATGCTATGGATATGAATATGGGTATATACCAAATTGTGTCCAACATTATCTGAATCATATTCAACATGTCATGGTACATGACATAAATACGCATGCCTAGAATCATGGATTAATTCAACGTCATTAATTTTTATATCCTACAAGTTGATTTTTGATATGTGCGTGTAGTGTACTTGAAAATGATGGAAATAATACTGGACACAATCTGGTATAAGAGCAAATATATACATAAATACATACATAATACAAGGTCTAAGGATACATAGAAAAAACATTTTTGTGTTTTGTATATGGAACAATTATTTTAACATAAATTAATTAATAAAAAGAGGCAGATATGAAAGTAACAATAATAAAATTAATAAATCAATGATTTAAACAATTATGATTTTAGACACTTTTTTTTAAATTTAGTATTTTGCATGAGTTTCGAACGTGTGTTTCCCAGGTAAGCATACTAGTAAATAGGTACAGCATTATAGTTTGATTTTTAAATGATTACTTTGTGCAGGTTACCCACATTGATGTTTTAATTATTTTAACGTTTAGTTGTTGATAGGCTCATGTTCAATCACCACTCATATGGCATGTACGGGCGTACGACACAGGTGTATAGCTATAAGCCATTGTCAGTCATGCGTATAAAATGTACATGAATGTGTTTATTGAAAAAAAGTTTTGTTAAAATATAATATAATATATTGTGGCACGCGGATAAATATATAGACACGATAAAAGAATCACTGGCGAATTGATTCATTGCACCCTCTTTTTATCTATTGCATCGTTTATTTTAAAACTTTTAAAGTTTGAAATTATATTTTAGAGTAAAAAAAAAAAAAAAATGAATATTTATTAAACATGCTACCAAATAGTACATGCAATAAAGTATGATTTCGATTTCAAATCAACTAAAAAAAAAAAAAAAAAATACCAGTGCGAAAACATTATTGCTTTGATAATGTGTAATAATGATTATACATTACACGCACGTTACGTTAACTATACAAAATTTATAGCACACATAAATACACTAAATATGACAGGTAATCTATTAATCCATAAGACAACCGTTTAACATTCGTGTTTTTTTCGTGAATTTTCAAATAGTGCACTTGCATATGTATTATTAATTAAATGTGACTGAACAATTTTCGGGGAAGTTTTAAAAATAATAATTTAATTAATAATTTCAAAATCCTTTAGATACACCCTATATATATATATATATATATATATATAATGTAGGTATAGTCAAACAAATTATAATTGTCGACAACTGTGTCGACAAACCGCGACATGAAGATTATTACGATTTCCACACTTATAGGTATGATATATATTTTATTATGCAGAGGCGTAGGCGATAATTCAAATGGCGCACGACACGCAACCATAGCGCGAATCGTTATATAATGATACATATATATAGAGTGATTAATCAAACATGTTCATTCCCATTTTTTTCTTTAATCATGCATTTATTTAATTTATGATTATTGGAATCTTTAGGTACCCCAGGACCATATTTTTAAATATTTTTGCCAATGATTTTTTTTTTTTTTTTTTTTATTGTTGATGTACTTTTTAAGTTAATATAATGTATTGAATTAAGTTTTTGAGTAATTAAAATGTATACACTAAGGTTAAAAATTATTTAACCAAAATGTATAAAATATGGTGTTTAAATAAAATTAAAAACTAAATTTTTAATATAACTATTACTAAATGAAAATATGGGAAGAGTAAGTTTGATTAATCATTTTGTATAATGGGTATTAAATGATTATAAAGACGAAATGGCATTTGTAGAAATTAAGTCAATTTATTTGTAGTGTAGGTATATATAACATATTTCGAATCATAATTCGAGCATTCACGCATTTTTTATAAAATTAGATTGATCACAAGTAAGCTAAATAATTTAATTTCACAAATATGAATGAAATATCAAAGTTTTTAGTGTATACCTTCAAAAATTTAAAGATTTTTTAATTTAAAGGGCTTATTTTGTGTTTTTATATTTTTTAGTACATGTATGATGTTTGATAATTTGTATAATTTATAATAGTAATACCATTAATCATACATTATAATTGTAATTTACATAGTTACTTATCTAAAATCAATAATAACATAAACAGATTAAATCAAATAACAGGCCAATAGGCAACAATGTTTTTACTTCAAAACCTGTAATTACTTAATAATATTGTATATTGTAATTTGTAAATATGTAGTTGATGAGACTGTTTTTGTAATACAATAGGCTATTCACCAAACATATCATACCTATTCATTATTATTGTTCTCAGAAAATCAAGCACGATAAAGTGCAAATTTAAAAATTTCAATATATTAGGGGTTGAAATGAATACATGATGATAAAATTGGGGCATGCGCGTGCTTCATGTTAAATCATTCTTTAAATGTGGAGCACGAATATA